CCAGGCCTACACGAGATGAGGCAGGATAAAGAGGGATAATCCCCCTCGATCCCAAATCATTGAGGCCAATTTCTAGCCATAGAATAATGGCGCGGCCGACTTGATCAGATTCGCATACACGTATTTCAGCTTATTGCTATTAAAAAGACTGTACGCAATTGAATTTGTCCGAATTAGCTCAGGCCCAATCAGGTAGGACACAACTCATGCAAGTCGGCCGACTTATTGGCTTGTTCAAGCCAACTTGGCCGACTTGCATGAGTGTGTTGTGTAGCAGCCTTAACAGGGGCGTTACAACAAACCTTCACTACCCATTGTTCTTAACAAAGCAAACAAAAAAAGAAATTGTTTTTTTTTAATATCTAAGGATCTACGACTTTTAAAAAATTTCATGTGAACCGCAGTTTTTTATTCTTCAGGAATTATGTAGGTACAGAAATATTGAAGTGCCACTGATAACCTACCTACTTATGTAGTTTAATTTTCGCCACATGGATTTGATCAAAAACTAATCCAGTACCATTGTAATGACGACTTTCAAATTTCAGAAAGAGTTATTTAATGTTGTAGAAAATCTTTTACAAATAAGAGAGGACCATTACCAATCGACATTCTTGTGCCTTATCCTTCTTTTTTTTCGTAAAATGTAAAATGTTACCTATCTACATATATTTGCAAGACTAAAAACCATATGACCAGTATATATCCAGTCTTTTAAAACCTTTCTCTATGTTATACTAGTTATTTTCAAATTAGAATCGTATTTGAGCATTATAGTTTAGTGTGTATACAGGGTGTCTCATAATTAGCTGCCAACCCTGAACATGTTGATTCTATGATCAAAACTAAGTAAAAAAGTTCATATGAACATGGGTCCGGAAATGCTTCCTAAGGGCACAGGGACCCATTGAAGAGGGAGGAATGGAAATCATTTTTTTGCAATATCTCTCAATCGCGTTGTGATAAATGAATGAAATTTGGTATACACAGCTAAATTTCATTCATTTATCACAACGACTAATCCATTTATTTC